CAGTGACCACGGCCCGGAGTGACCATGGCCCGGAGCGGGGACAGCAGTGACCACGGCCTGGAGTGACCATGGCCCGGAGCAGGGACATCAGTGACCATGGCCTGGAGTGACCATGGCCCGGAGCGGGGACAGCAGTGACCATGGCCCAGAGCAGGGACATCAGTGACCACGGCATGGAGTGACCATGGCCCGGAGTGGGGACAGCAGTGACCACGGCCCAGAGCGGGGACAGCAGTGACCATGACCCGGAGTGGGGACAGCAGTGACCATGGCCTGGAGCGGGGACAGCAGTGACCATGGCCCGGAGCGGGACATGAGTGACCAGCGCCCAGTGCAGAGCGGGGTGGCAGTCAGTGGTCAGGCCACATGGAGGCCCCCTGCAATGGTCTGCTGTGAAGAGCCTTTGGAGAGAGACTGTGATGTTTGTCTTTTTAACTTTGCTTCATTTTTCTGGCCTATGGATACTATAATGAGTATTGTGGTAATGTACGTTTTTTTTCCTTCATTTCTCTATTCTGTAACTAAGACTTGTACCTAGGTACCTTTGTACCTAAGATGGCACTGGAAGTGGCAACTTATAAACTTTTCACTGTACTCACTTGAGTATGCATGACAATAAAGCTAATTCAATTCAATACCACTGTGCCACAAGAACCTCACTATGAAATTATACCAGGGCAATCTAAATGTGCTTTGAGTGTCAGAAACTTCATTGAACCCATGAAATTAGTAATTAGTGCAGCTGGGTTTAGTTTCACAACTCAAATAGATGATGTAGCAATGGGATCTCCTCTAGATCGAGCTCTGGCAACATCATCTTTGCTTATCAAGAAAAGCTTGTTTTCAATGGAATAACCACTAACCTCCTACCCTTCGCATACTTCTGAAATGTAGTTGACAAGTTTGCAATATCTGAATCCACAGCTACATCAAATAATGTTTTACACAGTTTTATAACTCCATTCATGAATCTCAGACAGGGATCTGGGCAGAGTGATCAAGAAAAGAGGCACCTCTTTCCCGAGGACTGGCAGAGGAGGCAGTGCCACCAGATTATGCCAGCCTAGTCCAAGCTTGCCACCTGGGTCAGTGCAGTCTCCAGGGTGCAGAGAAACACCTAGCAATGCCACATGGTATTCTCTGCCCTGCCAGGGTAAGTACCAACCACTCTCTCTGCTACCTCCCAGTCGTTCTGTTTCTGTTAATGCATCCACCTCCCACCAAAGCTCATGCACGTCCACTCTCACAAATGCATTGCAATACCTTCCCTCACTAGCTCTCACACCCTATAGTCTAATCCATTCCATGAAGTGGGGGTGTGTGTGCAAAGTGTCACCACTGCAGCCTTTCAATACTACAGTGTGCCCTGCAATGCAAGCCTGTGCTTCCTCTATAATTACTGAAACTGGACAGGTGCCAGGATGGTCTTGAGCTGTTTGTAGATGCCGAATGCCAAGGTACGAGATGGAGGGATGTGTATTCTCACTTAACATCATTCTGGACTTTTTCAACTGTTCCCGTGCTAATCTTTTTTCTACTCTGTAACAACACTATCTTTTTTAACTCTGTAACTACACTTAAAAGTACCCGTACCTTGGTCCTCTGTACCTAAGATGGCACCGAAAGACAACAGTACAAACTTTTCATTACACTCATTTGAGTGCACATGCCAGTAAAGGCTATTTTATTCTATTCAGGGTTCGTGCTGCAGATTGGTGGTAGACTTCACTGAAGTTGTTCAGAGCAAGCAGCGAGCTGAATCAGGCAGATACACAGCTGGTTTCCATACTGACTGTGGCTGACATCTAGCAGGTGTGCCACATTTACTAAGATGGGAGGCTGAATGTGAATGAGACAAGTTGCGCCATTAACGAGGTGTTTGACAAGTATTAATTACTGTCAATCGGCAACTTTCCGCTGCCTAGTGAGAATCTCGCCACAGACCTTGTGAAAAGATGGCATGTGTTACACCCACCATCAAGATGGGCCTCACGGGACTTCCACCCGATTCTGCCACATATCTCATCATAGCCCATGTCGTTCAGACCCCTACAAGATTTTGCCCTTGACAATTAACGGTACCTGCTGCATCTCCATGCCAACTACAGTCCAATGGATCGGTACCCTCCTCTCATACTCTCCAAATTGACATTCCCTTTCTAATACTGGTCTCCATTTTGATTACACCTCCCCTCTCTTTCCCTGCCAAGGCTTATCTATATGGGGTTGCTCTCAGCAAAGCTAAATAAAATTCAAAAGAACTGTGGATGCTGTACATCAGGAACAAAAACAGAAGTTGCTGGAAAAGCTCAGCAAGTTTGGCGGCATCTGTGAAGAATAATCAGATTTAACGTTTAGGTTTTGAGGAAGAGTCATCAGACCCGAAATATTAACTCTGATTTCTCTTCACAGATGCTGCCAGATCTGCTGAGCTTTTGTAGCAACTTCTGTTTTTGTTGCAGCAAAGCTAATCTATTATTGAGTATTCCCTCCTGACATCAACATTTATTTTGCACTTATATCTTTCATTTATTTAGATCTCCAGCATTCACAGAATTTTGCCTTTGTTTGAGTGTTTAATTCACCATCACCTCTCTTTCAGGTATACCCACCTTGAGGAAGTTCTGCTTTTCTCTCTGACAAGATTTCCACTTGAATCTTTAAGCTTATTCATCGTTGTTGTTTTCTATTTCCCTCCGAGTGTTTACTGATTGATAAAATGTTTGCCAAAACTCATTTTCACAGCCATATCTCCTTGTGACTGCCTCCACCTCTGGTTTGCCCACATGAATTTCAAATGAAGTTCTATTCATTATGTTGTGAATCCCACCAAGGATTACAACATATAACACTTCTTTATACTCATTGCATCCTGAGGTCCACACTCAGTGCCCTGTGCTGCCATATACACATTCTTGATCTTTGTCTTCATCATTTCAAAACTGACCTGGTCTCTAGCTTCATTTCATTCTTAGCTTATTCAATGGCTTAACAAGAAACCTTTAGTCTTCATTTTAACTATTTAAAAACACAAGCTCCAAAAAACTCACAGGTACTGATACCACTCTGGATTCTTGCTTAGATTGTAACAAGATTAAATATAGGAGCAGAATTAGGCCATTTGGCACATCAAGTCTGCTCCACTATTCGATCGCAGCTGATATATTTCTCAACTCCCTTCTTTTGCCTTGTCCCATATTCCTTGATCCCCTTACTCATCAAGTACCTATCTATCTTGGTCTTAAATACGCTCGATGATTTGGCCTCCACAGCCTTCTATGGCAATGACTTTCACAGATTAACCAGCCCCAGGCTGAAGAAATTCCTCCTCATCTCAGTTCTAAAGAGTTGTTCTTCACTAGGAGGCTGTGCCCTCGGGCCGTATTCTCTCCTATTAGTGGAAACATCTTCTCCATGTCCACCCTCAGGCCTCTCAGTATTCTGTAAGTTTCAACCTGATCCCGCCTCATTCTTCTAAACTCCATCAAGTACATACCCAGAGTCCTCACCTGGTCCTCATATGACAAACCCTTCATTCTTGTGAACCTTCAGTAGACCCCTCCTCCCCTGCCCAGACTCCATCACCTCTTCTAATCCCACCTCTTGTCATTCCTCTCTGACCTTTCCCTCTCTGATGCTGAATAATCTGCATTCAGCAAAGGACTTAGTTTTATCCCTTTACATGCTCACCTCAATAAATTTCAGGAACAGCATGACTTGGAACTCATTTTTTGTCACATTTGTCTTTCTGTCTCCAATCCATGGACTGGTTTCACCCATCTCCAATTCTCCACACTCCCTCTGTCTTCCCACTGTACTTAGTCTCTTCATTGACAACTGTCAGCATGATGGCAGCACCCTAACTTCTCTGCTCGCCTCACCCAGTCTAACCTATCTCCCTCGGGACTTGCTGCACTCTGTTCTCGGAGGTCTAACCTTTACTTTGTTATCAAATCTGCTGACGGTAGTGGCGCTCCTTCGTCAACAGCATAAAAATAATCATGTTCCAGCTCCTTTCAGCTCCAAAGAAGTGTCATTGAAATGTTAACCCTGTTTCTCTCCCCACATTTGCTGCCAGACCTGCTGAGTTTCTCCAGCCCTTTCCATTTTTATTCCCATTTCTAAATTTGTTTTCTTAAGAGTCAGTGTGATGTGTACAGGGTGGATAAACTTCTTTATGATTTATAAATTCACACATCCAAATGTGATGCACAAGTGATTTGATCAGGAAATAACACAGAATAAAAGAAATGAGTTAACTGGAAACAGGGAAGAATCTTTTAATCACTCAGATAGGGAAAACATGTTGGTATTTATAATGTATATGCAACCAACTAATGTAGACTGATGTAGACTGAATATGGCATCAACCACACATGAGCACAACTATTACAAATAAAGCACAAGAAATATGTATACCACACTGCTCCTTTTCTTTTAGGAGTGATTATGTGAAATACAAGTGGGTCATGGAGAACATGGCATATCTCTGGTGTACATCTGTACCAAATCATTGTATGGCTAACATAGGCCCATCATTTTATAGCATTATTTGGAAGGGTCTCAAATTTCAGAAAAGCAAGCATTCAATTTGAACTTGCCCCTAAATCAGCCAGCAGTAAGTATCTTTTTTGCTAATTATAAATGCTACAATTTCATCATTTCACTAAAGCAGTTGTTTCCTATCCATTTGTTTGAAATTTGTTTTTGCTTATGTAAAAAGTCATTTTGGAAATTATTTTTAACGCTTTGGAACGTGTAAATGAACATGGTTTCCAGCAAAACTTGGCAAGTTGGATCCAAATTTGGCAAGACTCAGACGGTGGCGGTAAAAGGCTGTTTGTATGACTGGAAGCCAGAGTCTAGTGACATACTACAGGGATCAGTGCCAAGTCACTTATTGTTCAATATATGATATCCATTATAATGTGGGCGGGAAATGCTATGTAAGCTTGCAAATGACACAAAAATTTGTGGATGACAGTGAGGAAGAAGGTGTTAAGTTCTCAGAGGTTACAGACCGGCTGGTCAGATGAGCAGATCAGTGCCAGGTGGAATTTAACCCTGAAAAGTGGGAGGTGACGCACTTTGAAAGAAGTAACAAGTCAAGAGATTACTCAATAAATGGCAGGACATGAGGAAACTCAGAGGAACAGAGGGATCCTGGGGTGCTTCTCCACAGATCTCTGAAGGTGGCATGACAGGTTAATCAAGTAGTTAAGATGGCATACAGGACACTTGCCTTTATCAATCAAGGCACGAATTATAACAGCAGGGCAGTCATGTTGGAGCCATACAAAAAACTTTGTTTAGGCCACAGCTGGAGTACTGTGTGCAGTTCTGGCCACCGCACGATAGGTTTGCACTAGAGGGGTGCACAGGAGATTCACCACCATGTAGCCTGGGATGGAGCAGTTTAGCTATGAAGAGAGAGGGGAATAAGATCGAGTTTTCTTTAGAGCAGAGAAGACCAAGAGGGAACCTGATCCAGGCATAGAAGATTATGAGGGGCATGGACAGGGTGGCTAGAAAGCAGCTGTTGCCCCTAGTTGAAGGGTCAATAACATAGGAGCATTATTTAAGGTGAAAGGCAGGGAGGTTAGAGGAGAGTTAAAGATATTTCACCCAGAAGGAGATGGGGATCTGGAATGTATGAGCTGGGAGGGTACTTGAGGCAGATAGCCTCACAACCTTTATAAAAGTACTTGGACGAGCACTTGAAGTGTTTTAACTTTAAGGCTATGGGTCAAGTGCTGGGACTAGTGTAGATTTAGTGGTACAGATTCAACCGGCCAAAGGGCCTGTTCTGTATTGCATGATTCTATGATTAAATATCATTTCTCTCTATTTTCTGTATTTTTGATTGTGGACAGAAATGGGGAAAACTAAGGATTGTGGACAGTATGACTGCACTTCTTAGAAGCAAGTTAGCTGACACTCATTCTGAGTGCTGTTTATAATGCTGTTTGTTCAAGCAGTGGGGGAGGTTACTGCAGATGGGCTTTAGCCAGGGGGTGTGGGTAAAGGGAGATTCAGCTGGTAACCAGTAGCTGATTTATGGGCACCAGCCCACACACCATTGATGATAAAGGCCTTCTGCCTACCAACAACTAAGTGACTGGGCTCCCAGATGGTTGCACAGCTTGTGGGTGTGAATTTACGGTGAGAAGGTATCAGATCTCTGAAAAGGAAGTAGCTACCCTTTCCAGTAAGAAAACATCTCAAGCTGAAACAAAGCCAGTCTATTTTCCCCTCACCAGTTGCTGTAACCTTTAGCTTTCAACAAAAATTCAGAGACTTTATAAGTGTGAACCAGTTGCTCTGGGCCTTATGAAAGCAAATGAAAGTTCCTGGAGAAGGAAGACTGAGGAGCTATAAGTCCTGAGAAACAAAACGGATGATCTCAGTGAAACCTGTGGACAGGGACAGATAACTGTCTTTGTAGTCTTCCCCTCCACCTATTTATCTTTGAATCTGCCTGTACATTTGTGTAGAGGGGAAAGTTTTGTAAGAGGATTAGAGTTTTAACTAGTAGTTATAAACTGACAATTCATAATTCTTTAGTTAGACTCTCATTATCTGCAATAAGTAGAAATTCTTGTAAAGTCTAGAAACCTGATCCAGGCTTTCTGTTAACCTAAAAGACAGATAAATTGGGGAATTTTGCTTCCTTTTATAAAATCTTTAACTTTTGTGACGATTCTGAGAATGGCAGGGGTTGATTTCTAGCTTGCTTCCTCAGTGAGGTGTGACAAAGAATTATTTGTTATGAAAATGAAAAACATATATAACCAGTTTTTGCACTGGAGACTAAATTTATTAAAGTTACATGATACCTTAACAAGAAACACTGATTTGCATTTAAACAATAATGCCTACAGGCTGGATTTTAAAACTAAAATTAAAACCACTTGTTTGTACCCTGGTGAATGAGTCTTTATTTTTGATACAAACTAGTTCCACTTGATACGAATACAAAAGGGAGAATCAAATCTTTCCACTGCTGATCATGATTTAATGACTTCTGTTGGAAATACACACATGGATGTCTGGAAAGGTTTGGATTGGGAGTGAATGTGATGTATCTCATGAGTAACAAGCTACTACACTCATCGATAAACTCACTGGAGAACAGTCAAGATGTTATTTAAAATGATGTATGGAATGTGGGTGTTGTTGGCTAGGCCAGCATTTACTGCCCATCCCTAATTGTTCTTGAGAAGATGGTGACGACAAATCTACTTCTAAGGTTGCAGTCCATGTGGTGTTGGTACATTGTGCATCTTGGACTGGAAATGTAAATGTATTTTTCCAGCATGCCACTGTATTTAGAAATGATTGCGAAAAAGACTGACAATAAAAATGCTCTCCAGTAACTTCAAAGAGACTTCACTTTGCAAAACAGCATTTGGCAAATATTGTCTCACTTGGCTGCAAATGGACAATTGAACAAAAATTGCATTCAATGAGTCATCTTATTGCATCACTCGTTCTAGCTGTAATCATAACAGAAGTGACAAATGCTCTGCTCCCTTATCAACTAAAATACTTAAGGAGCAAGTGTGAGCACTGTCATGATTTAGAAGTCTTGCTGTTTAATAAGGTTTGTTGCTTCTTGTCAGTTTTCAGTGATCTCCTGACAACACCAGGAACATTTTCTACTGGTCATCTTAACATAACATCTTGTCTAAACAACAACAACAACATTTGGAGAGATCTCTTACATTGGAAAAAACTGTCGCGAGGGTCATACTTCAGCATTTCTGCTGGATGGTCTCTGCGTGAGCTGGATTGGCCATAATTCTTTTTATGGCTTGCTACAGACTGTGGAATGTGCTGAACCTCATTTAGTTTTATCAGTGACTCGTCTGGAATGGAAAGAGAAATATAAAAAAAAACTTCACCAGTGAGATTCTGTTCAAAGAGGAACACAATGTTGAAGGTTTCATTTCTCATTTAATTTTTTAAAAAGCATTAAGTAACGCAATAACAGTTGCAAGTTTAGCTTATTGCCATTTACCAAAATGCATCCAAATTTCCTTTAGATCTGCAAATAATAATTGTAAGAGAGTAGAGAACTGGCTTGTGTGGACTATTTATAGCAGTAAATAGCCAAGTACAAATATGTCCATTATTAATAATAAACTCGTCTGTGCATTTTACTCCAATTGAAGTTTAAACAGTTACTTTCTGGTTAAAACCAAAACAAAAGCTGAGTATGTTAAAAGAAAATCACAATTTCTTTCTCTATATTTCAGGTCAGTCTCTGGGATACTCAGAGGTTTTGTCTCCTTTATATAACTTCATTGCCATCTTCTTTACACTCTGAGTTGGTTCTAATAATTTATAATAATTCTAAGTAATACAAAAGTAAGTGTATAATTTACAAATAGAAGTAAGGTGTGTAACTTACTAACATAAAGTGAGATACGCTTTGAATCAACAATGTCGAATTTAAGGCCAGTATTGTGAAGTCGCCACTACAGAAAACAGAGAATAAATATGTTACTTAAATTAATGACAATTAGCATGTTGCCTTTTTATTCCTCCCTCCAAATTCTTTAGATGAACTAGCCTGCCTCTGCTGCATTGGCCAGCTGCCAAAAAGGTGATGATTTTCCTGCTTTCTCACTTCAGGGCACTGGCTGATCTCTGCAGTAAGTCCCTGTTTTAAGTTGCTTCATATAAGGTCATTCTGCTTTATTGTTTCTGATATAATGGGGCTGGTACATGCACTTAGCATCTGGATTTGTGCCTAAGCACGTCTTTGCATGTCAATACATGAGCAGCACCATTTTGCAACAAGTTTGAGGCCACTCCTGCATTCAGAGCAATGTGACATTTTCTTATAACTTCACTACAGTTTGGTGTGAAAAATATCTATGCCACTCTTATCTCTTTTGCTTAATGTCTCCCTACCTGACCGTCCTGTTCACAGCCTTTCTCAGCTACAGATTCTCTTTGTTGTTCTTATCCATCAGCATTCTCCCATTTATGAGTTCTCCTTACCCAAATACCCCCCTCAAAACCCTCACTCACAGCTCTTGTCATTCCCTCACCCTCTTCCGTACTCTCATCACCCTCTCCTGAGTCCTTGCAGTAAGTAAGGGTAATATATAATATAAATAAATGATTTGAAGGAGAATGTAGATAGTCTGATTAGTAAGTTTGCAGATGCAGCAAAAATTGGGGGCATTGCAGATAGTGAGGAGGATTGCCAGAGGATGCAGCACAATATAGACAGGCTGGATACTTGGGCAGAGAAATGGCAGATACAAGTTATCTGGACAAATGTGAGGTGACGCATTTTGGGAGATCCAATGCAGGTGTGAACAATACAGTAAATGGCAGAACCCTTAGTAACATCAACATACAGAGTGATGTAGGCATACAAGATCAAGGTTCCCTAAAAATGGCAACACAAGTAGATAAAATGGTCAAGATGACATGTGACATGCTTGGCTTCATCAGTCAGGGCATAGAGTTTAAAAATTGGCAAGTCATCATGCAGCTGTATAAAACTTTAGTTAGGCCATAGTTGGAATATTGTGTACAGTTTTGGTCACCACACTACGAGAAAGATGTGGAGGCTTTAGAGAAGATACAGAGATGGTTTTCCAGGATGCTACCTGGTTTGGAGGGTATTAATTATGAGAGAAATTGAACCAACTTTGTTTGTTTTCACTTGCACATCAAAAGATGAGAGGTGACCTGATAGAAGTTTATAAAATTATGAGGCGCGTCTGGAGTCTTTTTCCCAGGGTAGAAATGTCAATTACTAGGGGACGTAGGTCTAAGATAAAAGGGGTTGAGTTTAAAGGAGATGTGTGAGGCAAGTTCTTTTTTTGCACAAAGGGTAGTAAGTGCCTGGAATGTACTGCAGATGAGATGGTGGAGGCAGATACAAGAACAGCATTTAAGAGGCATTTTGACAGATATACTTTCCCCAGAGAAACCTAAAGGCCCCAGTGTAAACCATGGCAGTCTGGGTGAAGAATTACAGGTCCAATGCTTGCAACAAAGTTATACCAAATTGTTTGATTCCCACTCTGGAATTGCTGCGGCAAAATGCAACTTCATCCAAAGAGGACTAGTTCTATAAAAACAAGTGAGCTGAATTCCAAATAATGACAGAACTAGCCCATTTGAACACCCATCAAATCCCTACCTACTTTACCCTACCACCACAACAGAGAAGGGAAAATTAAAATGTTATCCACTTTGGTAGGAGAAACAGATGTGCAAAGTATTTCATAAATGGTGAGAGGTTAGAATGTAGAGATGTACAAAAGGGCATAGGTGTCCATGTCGATATGTCACAGAAGGCTAACATGCAGGTGCAGCAAGCTGTTAGGAAGGCTAATGGTATCTTAGCTTTTATTGCAAGAGGATCTGAGTACAGGAATAGTGAAGTCTTGCTTCACGTATGTAGCAACTTAATTGAAATGTACATGGAATTTTGATCTCTTTTTCTTAAGAAAGATATTATTGTCATAGAGAGAGTGCAATGAAAGTTCAAGCTTGTTTCTAGAAAATCGAACTGTCCTATGAAGAGAGATTCAGCTAGGTGGGCCAAATTTCTCCAGAATTTCTAGGAACGAAAGGTGATCTCATTGAAACTTACAAAATACTGAAAAGGATAGACAGGATTGATCAGGTAAGATGTTTCCCCTGGCTGGGGAGTCTAGACCCGGGGTCACAATTTAAAAATAAGGGGAATTTGGTCCAAGTTGGGGAGGTCTTTTTATAAATTCAGACAGGAGTGAACCTTTGGAATTCTCTATCCCAGAGGGCTGTGGAAGCTCAGTCTTTGAGTATGTTTAAGGTAGATATTAATAGATTTCTGATTACTAATGGCATAGAGGGTTATGGGGTTTGTCAGATAACAGCATTGGATTGTTCGATCAACCGTAATTGTACCGAATGATGAGGAAGTCTCAACAGGCTGAATGGCCTACTCCTGTTCCAAAGTTTCTACCTTGTTTCAGGACGTCCCACAGAAAACTTCTGCGATCAAGGTTGAAGTTGGTAAGCTAACTGAAACCTTCCTCCTAACCAATCCAGACATTCACGTAGTGTTCCATAATTAACATTGAAGCAAGACAAAATAAAAAGAAGAGACCCATGTCCTCAAAGGCAATAGAAGCCCAAATTTCCTATGTACAGATGGAAAGGAGGCACAAAATCATGGATCTTAACAACTAGGAGTTTATACTTTTTAAAATTTATTCACTTGTAGGACATAGATGTCGCTAGCTGACCAGCACTTTTTGCCAGTCCCTAGCTGCCCTTGAGAAGGTGGTGAGCTGCCTTCTTGAACTGCTGCAATCTGAACTTGCTAACCACAAAGTTCTTAGAGGGGAGTGTTGCAATAATATCCAAATCTATGGTACTCGCAGGCTGAAGAGAAATGAATCACTCCAGTCCATTCAGGAGATTCTCAGATAACTCCTACTGCTTGTACAATAGGAATTATACAGGAACGTTTGAGTACAGAAGTTCAAATTGTCAAGGATATATGATATCCAAGGGTCTTTGTAAGTTAAATTCTTGACTTCCAGAACAGATAATAATTTCCCAAGGTCAGAGATACAACTCAACCTTTGCCAACCTCCTAAATCCTTGTATATATGTAAAACCTTTGATAATTTCAAACTTGCTTCTGAGTAGTTATCAAATAATAGTGTGCAAATCTCACTCAACATTCAACCCACTGCTTCCAACAAAGCAGCAATACTCTCACCTTGTTGCCCAGGGAACAATTAGGTCACAACAACATCCTTAAGAGGAGTGAAGAAACTCAGCCAGAAAAGTTTTTGAAGGGAAATGAGAACACCAAATCATTATCACATTACCAGCTCAATGCATACTCTTATAATGACACAGTCAGCAACTAACCCTATAGTTAGTGGAATGACACTCTAAGAAATTACACACAGATGTGCAACAAAACTGACAGAAAATAATCTCGTCTTCTCAGGACAGACTGAAGCATGGTGGTAACAGTATGTGCCATTTATAAGATGCACAGCAGTGACTCACCAAAGCCCTTTCAAAAGCATCCTCCAAACCCACAATCTCTACCACTAGGAGTAAAAGGACAGCTGCATGGGAACACCATCACCTATAAGTTCCTGTCCAAGCTACACACTATCCTGACTTGGAACACAATTACCATTCCTTCATTGTCACTCGGTTGAAAACCTGGAACTTTTCCCTAACATCACTGTGGATACCACATAAACAACAAACGTTCAGGAAGGCAGCTCGCCAGCACCTTCTCAAGGACAATTAAGAGATAGACAATAATGAAGCATTAACCAGCAACGTCTAGATCCTGCAAAAGAACCCACTAAAACAAATGCAACATCCACAGAAAGCTTTATGTCGAACAAGAGAAAGAGAACCAAGCAAAAACATCTGGTGGGAAATTACAATGAATTGATCAATTCTCTATAGAATTGCCAGATGCTGATCCACAATGTCAATGAACAGAGCAGCTCTGTGAAGGTGGAAAACTGCATGTTAACAACTTGGTTCTGTGTCTGAAACAGTTGAAAGGAGGCATTCACAAGATTCACCAGTCAACAAGTGGTGAGGCAGTGTGGCAGTGGTAATGTCACTGAACTAGTAACCCAGAACTCCAGGCAGATGTTCTGGAAACATGAGTTTAAATTTGACTACGGCAGATACTGAAATTTAAATTCAGTAAAATTCTGGGATTAAAAACTTGACCTAATGGTGACCTAGCAATCAATTTCAACAGCTCACTGCTTCATTAAAACGCTTTAGAGAAAGAAATTGGCCATCCTTGCTGGCTCTAGTCTACATGATACTCCAGTCCAATGCCAATGTGGTTCACTCTGAAATGCCCTCTGGGCAATAAATGCTGACATAGCCAGCTGTACCCACATCCCATGGAGAAATAAGAAAAAAAGCATAACTGTGCAAAATTTGGCTAAATAAAATACAAAATCAATCCTACTCAACCCTACTACCGCATATTTGAGGGAGACGGTATTTATGAAATGGAATGCAAAGCTGAATCTTGAAGAGAGTGAGAATGGGAAACATGAAGAAAATCTATCTCTAGTACAGTTCAGCTGGAATAGCAGACATTTAGATTACAGGTAAAGGGAGAGGAGTCAGACTGTTCCCTTTAACTAAGGCGCTATACAGGACACAAGGATCAACCAACTACCTGTGCAAACTACCTCAATCCCCACAATGGCTAACTAACAATTATCTGTCAAATTGTGGGCAAAAAAAACTCCTAAATTATCTCAAAAAAATGCAAGTAAGCACTAACTTTCTGGAGGCAGCCGTATCATTCCCTCAGGACATACTGAGCCCAGAGGGGACAGGGTAAGTCAAACATCAGCTTCTGATTCATTCCAGAGGTATAGAGTGGCTATGTTGACTCACAAGAATCCTCCCTTCATTATGGACATAACCATCCTAGAAGAGGACAATTAATCAGTCTATATTGTTAAATCTTCAAAAAGTGGGAGATCACAACATCACATGAAGTTCTCCTGATTGCCTGCACTGAAATTCGCACACTCTTCTCCCACATGTAAAGTACAGTTTCAGAACAGACTTAAACTGTGCCCTCCATCCTCAGCGAGACAGGCCTCCAGTAAATCACCTGGAAGTCTTTTTCTTTCATGCTTCAGTCCAATTGGAAAAATGGAATTACTTAGAAACATAAATGTACAGCAGAGAATTCTGATTAACAACTACTTATGAGTGAACATTTTACTAATCTCAAGCATTTCACTTGATGAAGGAAGCAACAAGCTATGCTTACTGTATAAACCCTGATTCTGCAACAAAGATTTAAATTAAATTCTATTACAGGAAGTAAAATATGCATTTTGCATCTAAAAGGAAACTATTACAAATGAGAAAAAATGAATTTTTCAAAGTTGATTAAAAAAATCAAAAATACTTACTGCAACTTCTATATGATCTGTTCCTTGGGCATTTTGTTTGTGCAGTACCTCAAAGTAATATTTCTTAAAAGATAACAACCTACAGACAGGAAATAGAAAAGAATGCATGACTCAAACCCCATAATAAAAGATACAAGGAAACAATTAATTACTGTGTATAAATACTAGTACATCATATGTCAGTGCTTTAATACAGAAATTAATTGCTAATGTCTTTGAAAAATCACAACTTAGGTATTGGAACAGATCCCCAGAACTCAAGTTGAAGTAAGTTCCCCCCAACTACTTCCATTTTTAGCATATCTCTCGACAAATAAGGAGACCAACAATTTACTTAGGACTCAAGGTGTGAGCCCACTTGTGACAAGATTCCAAATTTTAGTTTGGTAATATTTCAGGGGAGGAGGCCATACCTGATTGAGACACCTTCTTGAAATGTTGCAGTCATTTTGGTCTAGAGTGATGATGCTGTCACTTTAAAAAGTTATTTTGTCCCAGCATTTTTTTGTAGAGATGTTATAAGGCAGAGTTGAGGAACTGGCTCCTCAAGATGACTTAAGTAAACAATTTGTGAGGCCTTGGAGTGTTTTTTAAAAGTTGGAACAATGGAAACAGCTTGGGTGTGGCCAGCTGTCACAGACCAGGGTTTCCAGTTTTGTGTTAGCTTTAGCAGCAGAAACTGTTTGGAGTCTCAAAGGAGTTGGCGTTTCAGTGAATGTCTCTTGGCTGCTACACTCTGAATTTTCGCTTGATGTTTCTTCCTTCTAGACTGGAGAACTGCATGTAAGAATCTGTGTCTAAATTTGCCTTTATGCCAAGGGGTGTGTTTATGGGATGTTACAATATTGGAAAAGTTAATTAGTAATAGATACTGTATTTATGATTTTGTTAAGTTTTCCAATAATTAAGTTATTCTAAATTCCTCTTCCTTTTGTTTGTATTTTAACTGCAGTGTTTAAATAAATTGCGTTTCACTTAACGTCGAGTACTTTGACCAGTGACATCACATCCAGAACACACATTTCACATCTACCTCTAAAATAAGAAAAGGTTAGGGTCTGGGCTACCTTCTTAAAATATTTTGAGGGGGTTTGGTTTGGTCCATAACACTAGGTACATCCACAGTGCTGTGAAGAAATGAGTTCCAGACATTTGACCCAATGTTAGGGAAGGAATTGCAATATAGCTTCAAGTCAGGATTGTGTCTGGATGGGAGAGGAACTTGCAGGTTGTGGCCCCATGCAACTAATGCTCCCATCCTTTTAGGTGATATATGCCATCCCCCATTCAATAAAGACTAACATTTCATTTGCCTATTTTCTGTAGTTGCATCTCAACTTCTCATGAATATGGACAATGACATTCAGATCACTCTGGTAATATAGCATACTGCAGTTTCTCTCTGTTTAAATAATATTCTGCTTTTCTGTTCTTCTTGGCAGACTGGACAGAATGGCAAAATGTGGCTAGGGAAGGATATGAGATTTACTGCTGGGAAGATGACAACTTTCTGTGGGGTTGAGGGAGACTACTTTTAAGAATACTAAATACATTTTTATATTAAATGGGAGTAGTTTGCAATGGGTTGATGATTTTTATTTCTGCGTTTTTACATTCTTTCACAGAATATGAATGTTGCTGACAAGGCCAGCATTTATTGTCCATGTCTAATTGCTCCAGAGAACACAGCAGTGAGCTGCCTTCTTGAACTGCTGCAGTCCCGGGGACCCATGGAAGAGTTTTAGGATATTGTCCCAGTGTCGGGGAAGGAGCAGTGATCAGGTTCCAAGTCAGGATTGGGGCAGGGCGGGGCTTACAAGTAGCAGTGTTCCCATATAAATACTGTTCTTGTCTTTCTAGTGGGAGGGGGGGCAAGCTTGCAGGTTTCGGGGAAGGTGCTGTCAGAGGAGCCTTGGTAAGTTACTGCAGAACATCTTGTAGATAGTGCATAGTGCTGCCTGTCTGCTTCATGGTGAACGAAGTAAATATTGGAGGTGGATGTTTCTGTACTTCCTCTTTATTCATTTCTTTCAGTCTAGTTTTACTTCTTCTTTCTTCTGTGTGGAAAATATTCTCGAATGTGGTGGTTGAGAGAAGGATCTGATGACAGCAGTCGGCAAATTTTGACTGACTGAAGGGACCTAACTTGGGTGAAGGTGAAGTTTTAGTGATGATTAGTGGCTTTACAGTAATACAGGGTGGTAGCAGAAAGTCACACGAAGAGAATAGACTCAAATTAAAATAAAACAAAGAACTGCAGATGCCGAAGATCTGAAACAACAACAGAAATAACTGGAGAAACTCAGCAGGTCTGGCAGCATTTGTGGACAGAATTCAGAATCAACATCTTGAGTCCAATGACCTTTCTTCAGAACTGTATCTAGGATATTTAAGATAAGGTGATATATATGCTGAAGATGGGGTGAGGGGTTGGGAAACGGATTGAATGGAACGGTGGAAATGGAGTTTAGAGAGAGAAAAAGAGAACAACAGTTAGGCAGTCAAAGGGAAGGATGACAGTAAGCCTTGGAAAAAGAAAAACTGATAATGGGGACCATTACTTGGTGAAATTAATAAAATTGCAAGCTTGTCACAGTTATGGTAACCACCAAACTATCATCAATTGTTATAAAATCCTATTTGATTCACTAATGTCCTTTAGGGAAGGAATTCTGACACTATCCAGTCTTACCTACACATGACTCCAGATCTACAGCGATATGGTTGACTTTTAACTGTCCTCTGCCAATCAGCATTCCCTCTAATTTTCTTATCAGTCACACAGACATCTGAGGTCTGTATTTGGCAGGGACACCTGGAATCGAAAGTCAATGCCACGATCGCTGTGCCAACACTGATCACCATGCACAGCACATCAGAGCAACTGCATGTATGTATAGCTACAATGTTCCTTCAAGGGAACATTGCAGCCATGCACCACTGAGGGAATATTGCAGCTAATCTGTACAAGGGCAATTAGGAATGGTCAATGGTGCCCACATCCCATGAATAAATAAACAAAAAAAAACTCTAAAGACTGCTCACGTTAATAGTACCAATAATGGCAAAACCTGTAAGAAAACTGAAGGAGGTCAGACTTCTGCACTGAAGTGTCTGGGATTCATCTTTCAAATATCATTTTCTTCCAATTTTGCACATTTCATATCAGAGACATACTCTGAGAAATATTCATGTGAAATTATTTTATTTAAATAAGTCATGTTTTGTGAAATATGTCAAATTAAAAATTATTCACATCATTTCAGGTAAATAAATGCACAAATGTACAGCCACCAGAAAAAGCAAGGGCACTATTCATGTAGTTATATAAAGCAGCATTTAAAAAAAAGACAAGGCTTTTATTTCCTGCAATTATTTTCTTTCTTTCCCTTTGTCTTTGATCTTCCTGCCCCACTTTAGCACTACCATCAAGCCAACCATAGTTCATAAAGGAGAGCAGGAGGTTACCCATCGACCAGCCATATAGACACAGGGCTATAACAGCAGGTCAGAGGCTAAGAATTCTGCAGCGAGTAACTCACCTCCTGATACCCGAAAACCTATTCAGGCAGAAGTCAGGACTGTAACAGAATACTCCCCAGTTGCCTGGATGAGTGCAGCTCCAACAACACTCAAGAAACTTGACACCATCCAGGACAAAGCAGCCCTTCGGGCTGGCACCACATCCACAAAGCAACCACTCCCGTCACACCGATGCTCAGTAGCTGGGTGTGTACATTGGAAGAAATTCTCGGACAACGCTTTCCATAGGAACAGGAGCGTGCCATGGATAAGCAAACATTTCAACATCTTTTCAATACAGTGCGGAGCTGGAGGAACACATCAGGGCAGGCAGCTTCAGAGGAGCAGGAAAGTCGACGTTTCGGATTTACACCCTTCAGTCCTATGGAGAGAGATTGGGCACACTGTATTTTCTAGAGTTTTGAACAATCAGAGGTGATCTCATTGAAACTTACAAAATATTTAAAGGTAGGTAGTAGATGCAGATAGAATGAATCCCCAAGTTGGAATCTCAAAACAAGGGCCACAACTTAAAAATAAAGGACCTGCCATCCTGGAACAAGCCCGCTCAACCTTTGTTGATCTCCTTCTATGGCAATAATATCTTTCCTGAGATAAGGAGACCAAAATGTCACACAGTACACCAGTTGCAGTCTAACTAAGTTCTTATACAAATGAAGCAAGATTTCACCAGGCCTATACTGAAATCCTCTTGTGATAAAGGCCAACATGCCATTAGCCTTCATAATAGATTGCTGCACCTGCATATTACCTTCAGTGACTTATTGACAAGGACACCTAGGTCCCTTTGCACATCTACACTTTCTAATCTCTTATCATTTCAAAAATATTCTGTATGTCTATTCCTCCTACCAAAGTGAATAACCTCAGATTTTCCACATTACATTCCACCTGCCATGTTCTTGCCCATTTATGAAGCATGTCCAAATCTTCCTGAAGCCACTTCTTCACAGCACACATTCCCACTTAGTATTGTATTATCTGCAAATTTAGAAATATTACATTGGATCCCAACAGCATAAGAAAATCTCTCTGCAAGGATCAGTCCCAGTTTTGTTAAGATATAAGCTGTCCAGTTTGTACAGGACCCACCTGTCCCATAGCCTGGACCAATACCTCAGAAATCTGATGCCCTCCCTCCTACACCAGTTCTCCAGCCATATGTTTCATTGATTGGTCCACCTGTTTTTATGCATGTGCCTGACATTACTGCTCTTGAGGTCCTTTTTTTTACATTTCTTTCCTAGTTCCCCAAATTCTGCCTTCATGATCTTTTCCCTCCTCCTAACCCCATCAAAAGAGTTGCTCAGTGACATCCTTGACCCTGGCACAAGGAGCCAACACATCACCCTGCAGTCACAGTTCATGTTTCAGCAATGCCTCTCTCATCCGCAAACACTGAAATCTCCTATCACTTTCCTCCTCACTCCCACTGTACAGCTGGCACACCCTTGATATTTTGGCCTGACGTCTAGTCGCACTCCTCTGAGGAACTATGGTCTTTACTAGTTTCCAAAATGAAGTGCTGACTGGCAAGCATGATACAATCAGGGGGCTCTTGCATTAGTTGCTTGATTTTTGACTGATGACCAGGCAATCTACATTTCCCCCTTGGCCTGTTCGCTTCAAACCTGTGGTGTGACCATCTCTATATACTTGTTATCCACGGAGTCCTTTACCTTGTGGGAGCTGAACAGTGATGTCAGTTGCTGCTCAAGTTCCAACACAGGTCCCGCAACCACTGTCATGTAGAAGGTGAAGGGCAGCAGATACTGGGAAGTACCACCAACAGCTAGTTCCTCTCCAAGCCTCTCATTGTCCTGACTTGGAAATATATCACCATTCCTTCAGTATCACTGGGTTAAAATACTGGAACTCCCTCCCTAACAGAATTGTGGATCTACATACATCAAATGGTCAGCAGCAGTTCCAAAGGCAGCTCACCACCACTTCTCAAAGGTAATTATGGGTAGGCAATAAATGCTGCCCCAGCCAGTGTTATGTTCCATGGATGAATAAATGAATAAAGACCTACATTGATAGCTGCACTTGTATCTAAAAGATATAAATCCCTATCAAATGGACATCTCACTGCTGCCCAGTGTGAATCTTACCATGCTGCTTTGATAAAGCATAGAAAAAGGAGCAATATGATTGAGATCGAGATGGGCCTCACTGGGCTTCTCAATAAAAACCAAAAGAACTGTGGATGCTGTAAATCAGAAACAAAAACAGAAGTTTCTGGAAAAACTCAGCAGGTCTGGCAGCTTCTGTGAAGAGAAATCAGATTTAGTGTTTCAGGTCCGGTGACTCTTCCTCAGAACACTCTGAGAAAGGGTTGCCAAACCCGAAACATTAACTTGAATTTCTCTTCACAGATGCTGCCAGACCTGCTGAGCTTGCCCCACCCCTAAAATATTCTGCCCATTGTGTTTCCTCATCATCAATGCCAACTGATGCACCTTCAACTCCAAAGCCCCACATATCATGCCAACCATGCCATCCTGCCCATCCTCATTGTTCTTTATAGCTCCAATATCAATTGAGTGCCAACTCATTGGAAGCAATTTCCAAACACCCACTACTATTACCTTTACAACCTTAAAGCCAATTCACCAGTAACCCCCAGACCTCATGACAAATGCTTAGATGAAATAAAGTACTAAATCTCCTTAGTTTTAAAAACAGTCAATTCATAAAAGCCCATCTGCAACTTGTAAAATCATTCAAGCACTTCATCCCTTATAAAAGCATGCATTTAATTAAAGTAGCCCCTTATTAAAACAAAGGTATTCATAGCAGCATTTCAAATTCCCCAGTACCACTTGGAGATGTCAATCAAAATGTGAACTATAGGCAACTGATAGGTAGTGAAATCAGCCACGCAATACAGGTTCTATAATTGATAGTCTGCAGGCTTCTGGCAACTGACGAAGTGAAACAGCAAGCGCTTTCTTTCAAACTACAAACTGATTCTACAAAACAAAAAGAACCTGGAGATGAAAATGCCTTGTCAGATTGACAGTTCCAAGGCGATTTTAATAATCTTTTACATATATGCATGTCTACTTAACAAACCCAAAGGACAGTCGATCCATCCCAAAGGGAAAATAACCTATCGCAAAGATGTCTCTGGGCAAATCCATAACGGTACCTGAGTTCTCCAAATAATCCATTCCTGAAATGTGTAAAGTCATCAAGTTTTAAAGATCCCACTTAAGCCATTTGGGTCTATTTGAAGGTAGCTGCACCTTTACCTTTTACATCAGTTTCTGTAAAGCATGACTGTGCAACCTGCACATGTTCCATTGCCCCACCCCAAGAATGGTGGGTGCTGGATTTGGTGATAGGCCGACCAGAATCTGGAGCTCTGTACCATTTTCAATACGCTGGAGACCCTCTCCATCATCACAACTGTTCGGATCTCTCTGTACTCTCACTCAGTACTGTTGTACTATTGTAATTGGGACTCTCAAACCAGGCTTAGAATACTTCTGAAAATTGACTTCATTAAGAGTAATATATATTTGCATTCAAAGGTCAGAAACAAATTTTATTCAACATAAATTCCAACAAACTTGACACATCATTTTAACCGTAGACTTTCTAGGGACAGGCAATAAATGCTGTCCCAGCCAGCGATGGAATGTCCCACAAGTGAATAAAAAAAACTTTTACAGCTTATAAAATGATAATAATACAAAATAACCAGTACTGGCAAAATTCAGTCAACTATACAACATTCATGATGATAAATAGCAAATGCAGCCTGTGAAAGGACTACAATCCTGGGCAGCATCTCCGAGAGTAGTTAGCTATCATGTTTCCAAAGTTAAATTTTCTTACACAGAAGCTGCAGCAGAGAAATTGTTCAGCCAATTGAATACCATATACCTACTGTGTGGGCTTGGAGACTTGACTTTGAAACTTTCCAAATTCTCCTGGGGCTGTCCACTCCTTACCAGTCTATGTTAAAAGACAGGAGAATGTTAACTTGCTTGCAGGCATATTACTTCAATGTAAATAGGACACTAATGTACGCAATTCTTGTTTCATTAAACATAACATCTATTCACACAAAGGAAGTGTACACTGTTCAGAATTTCTTGATTTGCAATCATGAACTGCAGATTTTGGGATAATTTAGGTGCATTTGGGAGGCCAAATCAAGTTACAACAGTCCAAGTTGCTGATGTGGAAAATCTAATGAGATTTTCCTGTTTATATTTAACAAAGCATGCTTTGTTTGCATCATCAGTTTTAGCAATGAATTTATCAGATGTTGCACTACTCGTTTGCTTTCCCTTCTGACTCTACCATCAGTCTAAAAAATGAAGTTAACAGCATACAACTGTTGTCTTCACTTGCTGTGAATAAATGTTAGATGCTGCCCAAATTACAGTTCTTTTCCATCATCCCTCATCTCTCTGCTCAGGTCTTCCATGAGCATTTAGCACTACTTGTGACTTGTACAATGCAAGACTGATATCGGTACATCTGATTCACCCCAATAAAGTAACAGAGAAGGTTCATGAAGGAAGTGTACTGGATGTTCACTATTTGGATTTTAAGATAGTGCTTGATAAAGTATCGCACAAAGGCCTATGTAATGAAATTAAAAGTTGTGCAATCGGGAGGTCAGCATTAGCTTGGATTAAAAAAAATTAAGGGCAGATTACAGCAAGCATGACCATTATTTTCACTGCATAAAGATAGATAATGGTGTTCCCAATGTCATTGTTGTGGTTAGTTTGCAATAATGTGTGCATGAGAGTCAAGTCCATATTTTCTCTTTGCATTGGCCTTTGTGTTGGCATTTGTGTTTTATAAGAAACAAGTCTTTTTGCAAATGAATTATTCTGTAATTATTTTTCTACATTGTAGTTTTCCCACAACATTTTTATCACAGCAAACACATTGTTAAGTGAAGAAACAAAGCATTTATCATCTCCTGTGCTGTAGACAGATTAAACTATGTTGTGATGCCATTCTCTGATATCATTTTTATCAACACATTACCAGTATTTGTAGCTGTAAAATGCACGACCATTAAGGAATCAATATGACATATGAATAAATAATACAGCTCAATTTCATTCTGCACATAGGGTGAAACAAACCCTTAATCTGGGCAGGCTTTGGAACATACAGTGATAGCATACCTTTCCAACTCTAGCCAGAAGTGTGAGATTTGAAGGGCTCTCATCTGTGCTCAGCCAGAACTCGGAATTATCATCAGAGGCCACTGCAAACTGAAATTCACCTAAAGATAGCAAGATAATTAATGACTTTTCGAGCAACACCAACTGACCCTAAATCGGTTTCCTGCCTCTCTTAAAAAACATTCATGCTGGGTGAACACAATGGGCAGAATCAACTCTCAGTGCATTAATCCTGAAGGTTACAGGACAGACTGACAGAACAGTTAACAAAACCTAAATGACACTGGCCTTTATAGGTAGGAGCACAGATTGCAAAAGCAAAGAAGGTATGATAAACATTTGTGCCACACAAGTGCCAGGAAACAACTGTCTCCAACAAAAGTTTTATGGCTTTACCATCACTAAATCCCTCCACTATTGACACCTGAGGTTACCACGGACAGGAAACTGAACTGAACCAACCATATAAATAATGGGGCTACATAAGAAGGTCAGAGGCTGAGATTCCTGTGGCAAGTAATTCACTTCCTAATTCCTTAAAGCCCATCCAGCGTCAACACAGCACAAGTTAGGAATGTGATAGAGTATCCTGACCTTGCCTGGATGAGTGAAACTCCAAAAATGTTCAAGAAGCTGGATGGGCTTGACAAAGTGGACCGTTTGATTGGTACAACATTCACCACCTTCAACATGCACTCTCTCCACCACCAATGCACAGTGACAGCATCGTGCACCATCTATGAGTTACACTGAAGTATGTACCCAAGGATCCTTCGACAGCACCATCCACATCTATGACCTTTACCCCTAGAAGGTCAAGGGCAGCAGATGCATGGGAGCATCCCCTGCCTGCTAACATACAGAACTACAGTGAAAAGTTGGGGGAATGGTTCTAAGTTAATTGCTCTTGCACAGAGTATGGGCATGACAAGGTCACATGGCCTCCTTCTCCTGTGCTGTAACCATTCTATGATTCCCTAGCTCCTTCGTAAATTAGTCACTATTTATAAATGAGCATTGAACTCAGTACGAATCGATAAAGTAGAAATTTATCACAATTAATGAAATCCTATCCTTACCTCACGCCCACACAGAGGGAAGAATGTAACCATTACAACTGGGCCCACTGGTAGGAGAACTGATAGGAGCTCTTGTATGAACCCCCTTAGGCAAGTGCCACTGCTTAAGTGCCCATCAGGCACTTAAATGAGCAGCATTAGCTGGCTTATTGATTAAGGACCCGCAGAAATGCCAAAACCATCACTGCCACCACCACCAGCACCACCACCCCCCTTAGGAAAGCTGCTGGTCAGTCAGTGGTCAGATACTCTATACGTGGACATCAGTGTTCCTGGGAGTGGGTGCCAGCTTCTGATAAAGCCTTGACCAGAGACCTAGGATCAAGAGGAGTCCCACAGCTTAGGTGAGTGGGGGCAGGTTGAAGGTTGCTGGGTGGGAATCATGGGCCAAAAGAGGGAGTTGGAAACAAGGGCAGTGAGACAATGTCCAGTACCACCACCCACGACCTTGCCCCCATCTCTCACCTGCTTTTCAGTGCTGGACTCCTTGATCATTCTGAGTGTCGTCGCTTGTGGGACCTGCCAACCCCCTCACAGGAAGCAATTTCAAGTGGTGTGCTTTTCAAGCTTTCCATAAGGTAAGCCTCTTGCCCACCACTGGAATACCAGTGACAGCAGGATAAGGCCTTTCCTTGGGCATGAACTGTTCACTTGTTGGCCTGAATTCGCATCAGTGCAGGGAGGCTGTCCATGTGCCTTCCCACTCTGGACCAAACTGGGTGGAGTAGGAAGGCACTGGTGTTCCAACCCTCAAAATCCTTCAAATGAACTGCCCCTCACATCCAAACCTGGCACAAGGAGGGGTATTAAATTCTAGCAATAAACATACACTCAAGCACAAGGCACTTGCTTCTGGTAAAGAACATTAAGAGTACCTTCCTCATCCATCCAACTGGTTTTGCTGAGGCCACACTTTCATTTACCAATGAAGCTGAAAATTGCTCCAAAGTTAATTTCCATCTGCCACCCTGACCCTAAACCAGTTTCATGTGGCTTTTTTACAAGTTAATACGATCTTCTGTTGAAGTTGAGATGCCCTTTGGGAAGGCCAGAAGAAAACTGGTTTGCCCCTGCCTTGCACACAACCTTTGTGTGCTGGTGTTGGTTTTGGAAGCAGTTTTTAAAAAATACATCAGTGTAGAGTTTGTGACCACTGGGAGAATGCTGTGAAGAGATTGGAATATTCAGGAAAAAAAGCGTAAAATAATCCCACTGTTTCGAACGCCACTATTAGATGATCTATTATAATGCAAATGAGTTTTTAAACCAGTGGTTCATCAGAGGGCTCCACCCTGCAAAAGTTAAGCACAACTGTGTAAATATTGAAATGCATTACAGTATCTTTTTCATAGATCATAGATCATAGAATCCCTACAGTGTGGAAACAGGCCATTCGACCCAACAAGTCCACACTGCCCCTCCGAACAGCATCCCACCCAGACCCCTCCCCTAATTTCCCATGTCTAACCCACTTAATCTAAACATCCCTGGGCACTATGGGCAATTTAGCATGGCCAATCCACTTATCCTGCACATCTTTGGACTGTGGGAGGAAACCTTCATTGAAGAAAATGCCATAATGCATTCAAGAATACAAAAGAATGTGTTGGTAAACTTTAATCATGTTTGATACAAGGAATTAAATACACAGACACCTCTGGCTGTAAAGTAAATCAGTTCTGCTCGCTCTGTTACAGGAAGGATATTATTAAACTGGAGACAGTTCAGAAAATGTTTACCACAATATGGTGGAAATCGAGCGCTTGAGATATAAAAATAACCTGGAAAGACTGGACTTTTCTTCAATGGAGTGTAGGAGGTTGAAGGTTGACCTTATTGAGGTTTATAAAATCATGAGGGGCATACATTAGGTATGTGATAAGAGTCTTTTCCCTAGGGTGGGGGAATTCAAAACTAGGGGACATATTTTAAGGTGAGAGTAGAAAGATTTAAAAAGGACATGAGCAGCATTTTTTTTTTACACAGAGAGTGGTTCATGTGTGGAATGAACTGCCAGAGGAAAGGGTGGATGCAGGTACAGTTACAACATTCAAAAGACATTGAATAGGAAAGGTTTGGAGAGATGTGGGCCAAGTATAGGCAGTTGGGACTAGTTTAAATTGGGAACATGGTCAGTGTGGACTGGTTGGACCGAAGGGTCTGTTTCCATGCTGTATGACTCTGTGATTCTATAAATCATTCCCTGCTCCTTTTATTCAATTGACTGACAGGTGTTCTGTTCTTTCAGTGGCGTGTGTTAGTGGGTGAGGTTTAGGGAAACTTTTAACGATGTTAGGAGCTGGGCTACTGTGTTGGAGAACAGAAATGGACTTTGGACAGCCTGCCTGCGAATCCATCATCCAGTCACACTCCAACACCATTCTCAAACTGCACTGCAAATCTGAAATCTGCAAAAGAATATTAAAGTTCCAACCAATGTCATGCATAGGTCAGGTGTGCAGGTTGGAAGTTGCAAAAGTACACACTTCCCTGAAAATCTGAGCTCAGATTTTTCATTACACCAAACAGCATGACTATCATATGAATAATATGGTCTGCAGTCTCAATATTATACCACAAGGTGCACAGAATCCTTGCCAGAGCAAAAACCATCTTTCCTGAGTGTATTTTATTTCTTTTTTTTCTCAGGGTTCTTCACTGTCGCTTAGTCAAAATCCTGGATTTCCATGGGTCTCCCAATGCCACATGGACTACAGAAGTTCAAGAAGACAGTTCATCACTACCTTCTCCAGAACAATTAGGGATAAGAAATAACCCAACAATACCCACAACATAGTCACACATTTTATAAACTCTGCTCAGAGGGAAGTCAAATAACTTCTTTCTCAGTCTCTGATAATGCTCATTTTCTGCTAATACTGAGCAAGTATTGCAAAAATGATCCATCTCATCTGCAAATATTTCCTTTCTCTTGCTACGGAGAAGTACCTAACTCTCACTCCTGGGGCACAGCTGTGACTGCAATTCATTGTGTAATAAATCACAGACACTAACCTACATTCTATAACTGTATACTAAAATACCTTGAAGCACTAATGTAAAATGCCAGTGTATTTAATCTTTTGTTGCAAAAAGTGAATAGAGCCAAGGTTATATTTTTGTAATGTTTGCACAACTAAATTAAGTTTGTTATTGGACTGTCACCTTAGCTCAGTTGACATTTGTGAACTAAATGATTCCATATTCAGATCCTTCCTTGAGCACATAATTTGAGCAAACATTTGAGTGCAGTATAAAGGTGGGGGCTACATTGGAGGAGGTGTCATTTTTTGGAAGATATGTTAAATCAAGATTAGACTAGTCACTTCTTTTGCTGTTTTTGGGACCATGCTGGTATAAGGTGCTGTGTGTTTATCTTTGTAAGAAGAAACCACAAATGGGAACTCCTGGTCATCTGTTGGCTGAGATCCCATTGGGACATGATAAGGCACTATGTTAGTTCTTACTACCTTTAAGCATCAACAGATACAGTAATAATGAAACACATTTTAAGAGAGAAGAGGTATTCTTTTCTCCTGTATCAGGAAAGAAAATGCTTTAATACTTTAACCCATTGTCAGCAGAAAACAATCCAGCAAGAGAAATTTATCAATTACGAGAGGATTAATATCAGTCAATGCCCCCACATTAACTTCAGTCACCTCCAAGATATCAGTGAGTAGAAGGACCAACATCCAGTGAAATACTGGCACATTTTGTAGACTTAGCTACAAACAAACAGGCCAAGACTGCTCAAAATTATTTAACAATTGGCCATAGAGATACCATAGACAGGAGCTCTTAGAGATTAGTCAAGGATTAGCTGAGGGGATTAATGACTGTTCCCCAATAGATGGGACTGCTCACTTTATTCATTTTATGGATCTGTTTTTTTGTAGCATGGAAGCAGACTGTTAGCAATTTAGTTAAGTGAAGAAGAAAAAGAAGCACTTTGTATTATCTCAATACCTTTCATGCACTGAATTACTTTTCTTTTCAAGTGCAGTGGCTCTTATATAGGCAAACACAGCAGTGATTCTTTGCCAGCAATGATTCTCAAAGAATTGCCTGTTTAAGAAATGTCTCTATAAATCAACGTTGCCACAAAGACTATAATGAAGATGCCTGAACAAAATATTTTTGACGATAGCACTCGGACAAAATTAGCTGGAAATAATTTTTATGTTAATTAAGATTTCACTTCTTTGGTTTGCCATTCTGCACCTTAAATTATATTGCTCATAATAACTGGGAAAATCGTCTGTTTGGGATCATGAAATCTTTCTTTCTTTCAGCTTAAGAGTTAAACAGAGGTTTTAGCATCACGTTGTTTTGTCTCATTGTCATTTCAATTTAGTTCAGACTGATTTACAATGAAATGGATTAACCCGATGATTAAAAGATTGCTAAATGGTAAACCATGGAATAAGTTAAACAATTTAAAAGGATTATACTTAGATTATATTCATGAATCATGAACACTTTTGATTTCAATTGAGGACCAAAAGGATAAAAATAGTAGAACTTCATTTCAGGTCAGACATGTGCGCAAGATACTGAAGACACAAATATTCTTATTAAGCCCATATTTATGCATAAAAATAGAAAGCTGCCCTTGCCCTTGAAATTGATGCTCATTTTCTCCTCTCTAATCGTGTTATTATCTGAATATATCCTGATCAAACTTAGATGGATAGGAATTGGCTGCCAATTTCTCCACAGCCATTCATGAAGTCAGTATATTTGCTGAAAGTCAAGTCCTGCATGGGAGATTCATTAGACATTTCTTTATTTTTTTCTCTCTCACCCTACCTTTCCATGACCACTCTGGTTCCAAGCAACACTAACTTTACAGGCTAGAAGATTGCAATACCTACAAGTTAAGAGCATTGTGCTGTTGTGATATTCAGAATGGAAGCTCAAAGTTATCTTACAGCAGGGTGCTCTTGCCACATTACTAATGTGACAGTTAAGAAGCACAATATTACAGAATCAACAAATTATTATGGCACAAGAATGCTTTCTTTCATTTAAAAAAAATCACTTTTGTCCTTTACAAGTGCCAAAGCAGTTCATGTATAATGTTCATGTAATGCTGAAGTCAGGAAATGAGATTGTTATGACAATGACGAGAAGTTGAGAACTAACAAAGCTGGAAAGAGAAAGTGACTTACCATCTGCATAGGGATGGATATAGCCGAATATTCTGAGCCCATAGTTGGTCCATCGTGGTGCCACCGCCAACTTCTTGACTACAGTCCGTGTCTATAACAATATTATTAAATTCAGTGCAATCAGGAACCAAATAAAACCCATTTTAATTTCTTCCCATTTACAATTGAACATGATTAGTCCTCTTTTGGTGTTTGCAAAAATGGAATATTAATCGGGTAAAGTGGTCTGTGTGAGTCAGCATTGTCAGAGTAGTACTTGTCAAGTAACAGCTAGATCTGTACTGCATTAAATACTTCCGCATTATGAAAGGACAATAATCACATAACTATAATTTCAATCAATTTTGAGTTAATTTCCTCATCCTCTCAGCCTAGAATTAAAGCAGGCAAGCAATTCAAGGCAAGATAAAATGTACTTGTATTTCCAGGAGATTAGTATTTTCCTCACCACCCCAGTCTACTTAGATGGTTTTGATGTTCAGTTTGTTAACTTTTCTTGTTTCCTTTCCTGTCCAAACTTTGTTCTTTTTCACCAGTACTCTTGGTTACATAGGAAGAGAGGCCACTCAGTCAAGTGACGGTGGCAGATTCAATTCAGATCTTCAAAGGAATACTGGATAAAATCTGAAGCAAAGAAAATTGCAAGGCTCCTAGGAAAATGTAGTGCAGATGGAAGAGGAGTATTGTTCTTCCAGAGAGGTGGCAGGGACAAGATGTGCCAAATGGTCACCTTCAGTGTTGTTATTATTCTATCATTCTGCAAAATGAAATTTTCCTATCACTACTGAGCAAATTGAAATCAGGTATCAAAAATCAAATCTTAGAGGTAATAAAGTCCTGGAATAGGTGCAAGACAGAACTGTAGAGGTGCACACTTTGGAATTGCTTAAAAGAGTTAGATGCAAAACTTTGGTAAGTTTTTGCTATGCTTTGAATGAGTAAATGGCCTTTTCACCACTATGAATTAACTTTTTATTGGACTATGCTACCTCATACAGTTCAAACTGTCAAATAAAGAAATGTTTAGCAGCAAGGTTTGTTGTTTATGTGGCAAAATATTCTTTCTGGAGTTGGCACAGTGGCTCAGTGGTTAGCACTGCTGCCTCACAGCACCAGGAACCCAGGTTCAATTCCACCCTCAGGCAGCTGTCAATGTGTGGAATTTGCATTCTCCCTGTGTCTGTGTAGGTTTCCTCCCACAGTCTAAAGATGTGCAGGTGGATTGGCCATGCTAAATTGCCCATAGTGTGCAGGGTAGGTGGATTAGCTGTGGGAAATGCAAGGTTACAGGGAAAGGGAAGGGGGCTGGGTCTTTGGAGTAGGCTGGTGTGGACTTGATGGGCCAAATGGCTGCTTCCACACTGTAGGGATTTGATCTAACAGTTCAGAGGATAAATACATTGTCGTGCATTATAATACACATACAGTGTAAATTTAGAAATGAATTTACTTATTTTCATACACTATAGAACAAATCTAGGAGTGAAGCTTAAAATTATAATGGTTACAAACATTACTCAAGCTGTATTGAAATTCATTTTTACTTTTTATTCACTCATTGGATGTGTGCATCTATTGGTAGGCCAGCATTTACTGTTTGTTTCTTTTTCCTGCTTTGTCCTGGAGGATTGACCATCATTTATGTTGTTGGACTGCATTCATCCAAGCAAATGGGAAGTTGTTGGATATTTTTATAATTCTTACCTGCATGGAAATTTTTTTTTCAGGCAATGAATCAAGTCAAGTAAGATTAAATAATTTCACTTAAAATAATTCCAATCGCAAAATCTATTATAATAAGCCATTTATTCAAGGCATATCGCATTGATGCAAGATTATTTCAGTATCCTTTGGTGTAAGATCGTGAATCTGAGGATGTTTCTTATCTTCACAAACGATTCAAGACCACTGGTTCAAGATTCAAGACATTCTTGTATCAACAAAGATTAAAAAATGGAGGTTGCAGCAACAAATAATTTGAAAAGGTTCCAGTAATATCATCTGACTGCAAATTATTGTTCCCAACATTTTCATACTGGCTTAGGGACTGTAGATACTCACATGTGGAAAGAGAGGGAAATGAATATTTTTCCTGAGCTGATCAACAGAGCCTCCACACCAGTCTTCAAATATGTGCAAATTTGCTTGTCCCATGAACTGCATAAAAGAGACAAATTAAATGCATTGATTAGTGCAGAGTACAGTGTTCATATTCTTATATTCTCATTAACTTGATTTGAATAGTGAACTGTATCTCTGTTTATGGCATTCTATTTCTCCTGCTTACAATCTAGGCTGACATTTCTGGACAGTATTGAAAGAAAGCTACAGGATTAGAGGGATTGTCTTCTAACTGAGATGATGAACTGAGATTCTAGATAACTGTTCATTGGGACATAAAAGAATGAGTGCAGAGTTTCCTCAGGATCCTGGTCAAAATTCATCCCACAACCAACCCATTAATTGGCTGTTCATCTGAATGTCCTTTTTGGGACTTTGCAGTATGGAAATCAGTTGCCAACTTAATTTATCTACGAGCAATCTCGAGAGTTGTTTATTATTTATAAACTACTTTTGGACAGTGTGACGTTGAGAAAGGTACTATATAAATACAAGTATATGTGGTTTTGGTAGCAAAAAATTTTTGGGCTTCCTTAGTTCAACATTATAAATACTACATAAATATAGGCTGGTTCACTTTTTCTTTCTAATTCACATGATCACAGAAACCAAGAATTTATATGCATTCAGGAGAGCCACTGTGATACTGAAGGGGCTTGCAAATTGGACAGGCTTGAACAACAGCCCTAAGAGAGCATCATACAGTCAAACAGCAACAACTTTTAAAAGAACAGCAAATTGGAAATGAGGCAGTCAATTGTGAGAGTTTTGTGGTGGAGATAGGGAAAGAAACGCTCAGAATTTTTAATTGATAGTTTGTATAAGATCTGATGTGATCGTTTAGCTGGGGATGATGAAAGCGAGTTGGTTAAGAAGATCTTTATGAAGTAGTTCCTGACAGCAAGTGGTGGATGAGATATGCTTGAAGGAGGTTGGGAGTAGTGATAGACAGAAAGCAAATTAAGTCAGGGCTGCAGGGTTAGAATGGGAAATGGTATCCATAACCAAGAACCTAGCCTATGCAATGGTCTTGGGAGACACAGTGGCACAGTGATTAGCACAGCTGCCTTGCAGCATCAGGGAACTGGGTTCAATTCCAACCTTGGATGACTGCCTCTGTGGAGTTTGCACATTGTTTGCGCAGGTTTCCTCTGGGTGCTCTGGTTTCCTCCCACAGCCCAAAGATGTACAGATTAGGTGGATTGGCCATGCTAAATTGCCCATCGTGGAAAGGGATATGTAGGCTAAGTGGGTTAGCCATTACAGGGGTGGATTTGGGAGGATGCTCTTTGGACGGTTGGTGTGGACTCAATGAGCCAAATGGCCTGCTTCCACACTGTAGAGATTCTTGATTATTTTCATATAAAGGTACTCATGAACTGGAAACATATAGGCAAATCTCCAACAGCTGTTAGTGAACAAACCATTGCTTATCAATATGCTACATGACAAAATAACTGAATGAATCTGTATATATGATCTGTCTTGCAATGTATTCTTGACATCAACTCAGTAATCAGAAAGAATTCTTTTGTAGAGGTAAATCTGGATTTTGGGATGGGGAAGCAAAGGAAGGACTCCCCAGAACAAGTCAGAGTAGTTTGTTTATTTGTTTACTTTTTTGACAAGTTTTTGTTTATTTTACATTTTAACAGCTACTTGCAATTTTTTAAAAAATCAGATGCCAAAGCATGCCTGTTACAATATTATCTTGTCTGGAAACCTGGGCATGGATCAAAAGAAGGAAAAGGTATGTGGGGAGAAGATGGAAGATGGGGTGAAAAAAATCTCAATCAACAAAGTATGGCCAATCTAGGAAAATACAGTCAATAATACTTTTGTGCAGAGGGTATAATTCCAAAGTTTGCGAGCAATGCAGTGAATAACAAACAGCACAGTAGCAGACCTCAGGAAAACATAGACTCATGAAACAGCCTGGCAGATGTGATTTAACATGCTTAAGTATGAACAACATGGCGATGCAACATCATTTAAATCATCCTATTTCGAGGTGGTGGGAGGTGCAAGATCAGAGACACCTGGGGCGCATGTGTAGAAATCTTTAAAGGTGTCAGGACAAGTTGGGAAAATTGTTCTGAAAGCACAGTGTAGACTTGCTTTTGTGAATTGGTGGCACAGTGGCTAGCAATGCTGCCTAACAGCACCAGGAACTCAGATTCGATTCCAGCCTTGGGTGACTGCCTGTGTGGAGTTTGCACATTCTCTCCATGTCTGTGTGGGTTTCCTCTGGGTGTTCCGGTTTCCTCCCACAGTTCAAAGAGTTGCAGGCTATGTGGATTGGCCATGCTAAATTGCCCGTAGTGTTCAGGGATGTGTAGATTAGGTGGATTACAGGGGGGATGGGTCTGGGTGGGATGCTCTGAGGGTTGGTGTGGATTTGTTGAGCCGAACGACCTGTTGCCACACTGTAGGGATATTATGAACTGAGCCACTGAACATAAAAACAAAGAAACCATGCTGAAGTTTTAGAAATTTGTGGTTAGGCCTCAGCTGAACTACTACAAACACAACAAGGCTGTCAAAGACCTGGACAGGTTAGAGGTAGGCTTGCGAGGATTACATAATAAATGAGTGGTTAAGGCATCTGGATAGACAGGGAGAAGCTGCAACTATTCTCTTTAGAGAAGGTTAAGGGTAGACCTTAGAGATGAGTTCAAAATTGAAGGACTGTACTGTTAAGGTTTGGAATGAACCAAGTGAAAGGATATCAGATTCTGAGGATGTCAGAGTTAACAGATCCCACAGGAATCTTTGCAAGGCAATTTGACATGTAACTGAAAAGTATTATGTGTAAAGTTTGAGGTGTGGGAATAAATTGTACAGTTGTGAGAATAAATAGTACAGTTCTATCAAACAGCCATCACAAGCATGGAAGGTCAAATGTGCTGCAAGATTACTTGATTCTATTCTAACAATGGAGTGTCCCACAGATAGTCACAAAATGTTACAAGAGACCAACTGGTTAACATTGAGCAGATCCTTTGATTACTATTCTTAACAAATGCTTGCTAGCTGATGAATCTTTTCCTACATTAATATTTTCTATTCAATGAGTCCAGATAAGTGTTCAAAATTGAAAAATCTGTCATCACTGTGCAACTTTTGTCATAACCGCAGATCATAACTCTGAAATACTTATGAACATAGAACATAAAACGCAAAACAGTACTGTACAGGAACAGGCCCTTCGTGCCAGCCTTGATGCTATTCTAAACTAATCCCATCTGCCTGCACATGGTCCAAATCCCACTATTCTCTGCCTGTTCACAGGTCTGTCTAAATGCCTCCTAAATTTAGCTATGTATCTGCTTCTACCACAATCCCTGGCAGCACATTCCAGGCACCCTACCACCCTCTGAGTCAAAATCATTTCTTACACATCTCTTTTAAACTTTTCCCACTCTCACCTTAAACCTATGACCCCTTGTATTTGACATTTCTATCCTGGGAAAAAGACTCCCACAATCCACTCTATCCATGCCTCTCATAATTTTATATATTCTGTCAGGTCACCTCTCAGCAACCTGCACTCCAGCAAAAACAACTCAAGTTTGTCCAACCTCTCTTTATAGCTAATACACACCAATCCAGGCAGGATCCTGGTTAAACCTCTTTTGCACTCTCTCCAAAGCCTCCACATCCTTCCTATAGTGTGGCGACCAGAACTGCACACAATACTCCAAATGTGGCCGAACTAAAATCTTATACAGCTGCAACATGACTTGCTAACGTTTATACTCATTGCCCTAACTGATGAAGGCAAGCATGCTGTACACTTTTTTTACCACTTTATCCACTTATGTTGCCATCTTCAAGGAATTATGCCCTTACATAATTCTATATATCAATGTTACCAAGCATCCTGCCATTCACTGTATACTTTTCCCTTGCATTTGACCTCCAAAAATGATCTTTTAATTCCAAACAAAAGGACTGTGATAGCTATAAAATGACAGCAGCTATAAATTCAGTGATTGCCTGGCAGAGTCCTGTGTGGACCCATGGAATGTCACCCCTGTACATACTTACAGAAGCTTCAAATGAAATGACTGAACTAGAAGAGGTAATGAGAGGTTGAAGACTAAAACCTCTTCACAGCAGGAGGCCATCTCTTCCAGTAATGTTTGTGTATTATGCTTCGAGGGACATACAAAAAAAAGTTTAAAAATCAGTGAGCTTCAAACCTAGTTTAGTGTATTTTAGGGGGCTGATATCCTAATGTGTGGACTAGTGTGCTATGAAGGTCACAGCTTTGAGAATAGCCATCAAACACCCTTGTGCTGCAGGTAAAGACAGAGAAACAATCTCCAAGTGCTCCCATCCAACATGATCAAAAATCAACTGTTGTCCAGATGTGAGGTGAGAGTGACAACCCTTGAAATCAAGGCTGCATTCGATCGAGTGTGGCAGCAAGGAGCAAACTCTCCCGTGGTTGGAATCATACATGACACATAGGAAGATGGTTGTGGTTGTGGGAGGTCAATCATCTCAGCTCCAGGGCATCTTTGCAGAAGTTCCTCAGGGTAGTGTCCTCGGCCCAACCATCTTCAACTGCTTCATCAATGATCTTCCCTTTATTCTGAGGTCAAAAGTGGGGATGTTTGCTGATGATTGCGCAATGCTCAGTACCATTCGTGACTCCTCAGATACTGAAGCAGTCCATGTTCACATGCAACAAGATCTGGACAATATCCAGGCTTGGGCTGACAAGTAGCAAGTGACATTCACACCATACAAATGCCAGGGTATGACCGTCACCAATACGAGACAATCTAACCACCGTCCCTTGACATTCAATAGTGTTACCATCATTGAATCCCCCACTATCAACATCCTGGGGATTACCACTGACCAGAAACTCAACTGGACTTACCACATTAACACAGTGGTTACAAGAGCAGGCCAGAAGCTAGGAATACTGCGGCGAGTAACTCACCTCCTGACTCCTCAAAGTCTGTCCACCATCTACAAGGCCCAAGTCAGGAGTGTGATGGAATACTCCCCACTTGCCTGGA